TCTTCTAAGGTCCAGCCAGTCAAGGGTCTCAAGCCAATCTGCACTACGCTGGGCACTTGGTGATGGGGCTTCCTGCCAGTGCCAGTGGTGAGGACAGCCCTTCCTCTCCAGAGAGCTGCTCCAACATCCCAAGGGCCCATATAGCTGCTCAAAAGTCAGTTAAGAGGCTCTCTACAATCTTTTTCCATGAAAAAGAAGAAATGCTTTCCCTTGGAGATAAGATACCTGGTTGTTCACAGTATTTTCCCAACAGAGTGCTAATCTTGCCAGTTCCTGTTTGCCTTGCCTTTAGCCCTACCTTCTATACATCATAACTTCTGATAAACTTTAAGTATTTAAAAATATCCCATTTAATCTGTCAAGCCTAAGACCTGGTGCTACAAAAGTACTTTCAAACTGGTTTGAGAAAGGAACTGAACAACAAACAAGAATTTACTTTTACTCCTTTTTCATCTTCAACTTTTCATTTTCCAACTTTTATCTCATCTTTTCCCCATATTTCATGCTTCTCTTATTATTTCCTTAGGTTTTGGGGGTTGATATTCAAAGGACTGTCAGAAGAATTTCTGGGCTTTCATGAAAGTTGGATTTTTTCTTTGGGTGCTTTAGGACCGTGTGAACACTACACTAGAACCAAAACCCCTGTCTTACACAAATGTCTCATAACTTCAAATGTCTTGTAACAAGGGTTACTTACTGCTAGAGCAAGTACTAGAATTTAACATCCCATTTTGACAGCAGCAAAGTGAAACACTTGCTGGAAGCACAGACATGTTTAAAGAAGTTAAGAGAGCTCTCTACCCCACTGCCACGCTACACCGGCATGTGAGTTTCTCCTTGGAAGCTCATACCACAGCAGCAGGCGAGTCTGAAGTCCAATATCACATCTCTCCAGCCCATATGTCAACAAGTGAAAGATAACGTTTAAGCTGGAGCCTCGCCTTCAGACATTAAACAGTAGCCTTAGCAAGTGCAATGCTCTAATCAATGCTCTTATCAGTTGTGAAGAAAAACTTCAGCATTTAAAAAATGTAGTGACAGTCCACTTGATCTTAAACTGGAATTCAAAGATAACTTAAACAGCTGAATTTTGCAAATAACAGATTACATACCTGTCTCTCAAACTATGTATATCTCAAGTCATTTGCAGGAAGTATTTCTGAAATGACTGTTTCTAGTTTAACAGAGTCAACTGAACTGCCAAATGACTAATCTCATACACTGAATTTTATATACTACACCCTTACGTGCTTTGAATCCAATGCAACTAAAGATGGGGAACAGAGGGCAGAAGGGTAAATATTTCTCAGTTATCCTGTTTCACAGAATTACACAATGGTTTGGGTTGGAAAGGACCTTAAGATATCTAGTTCCAACCCCCCTGCCATGGGCAGGGATGCCTCACCCAAGACCACGCCTCCCAAGGCTCTGTCCAATCTGGACTTAAACATGACCAGGGATGGAGCATTCACAACTTCCCTGGGCAACCCATTCCAGGGCCTCACCACCCTTACAGTAAAGAAATTCCTCTTTATACCCAATCTAGCCTTCCCTTGTTTAAGTTTTAACCTGTTACCCCTTGTCCTATCACTACAGTCCCTAATGAAGAGTCCCTTCCCAGCATCCCTATATGCCCCCTTCAGATACTGGAAGGCTGCTATGAGGTCTCCATGCAGCCTTCTCTTCTCCAGGCTGAACAGCCCCAACTTTCTCAGCCTATCTTCATATGGGAGATGCTCCACTCCCCTGATCATCCTCGTGGCCCTCCTCTGGACTTGCTGCAGTGTTTGTTTTACTCAGAAAATCCCATAAACACAGAATTTAATTAGAAGAATGACAGTAGGCTTCCATGCCATTCCCCAGTGAATGATGGTAACCAATAAAAGCATCACGCTGCTGACCTGGAAAAAACTCTTTTGAATATAGTGCTATAAAGGAATACAAGTCCAGTACTTTCCTAATGACTGCAGCACAGGAGATTAATTGAAATGAGCAAGGAACGAACTAAACAGGCAGGGAAAGAGTAAAAAGAGATGGGAAAACAAAATAGAAAAGATGGAGAAAAGAAAACCAAAATAGAAACCAGGCACAGAGAAAAGAAACAGAAGAGAAAGTAAAGAACATAAATAGGACAGAAAAAAAAGAAAAAAAAAAAAGAAAGAAAAAAAGCACTCCATCCCCATGCTGATAGCCAGGTTCCAGCCACACAAATAATCTGGTGCTTTCCATCTCTCATAATTACAACCACCTTCATTCTTTCCGCTTCTTGTTGAACCCTATGCAGTGGCAGATAAAGCACACTGACCTCTTTTTCAGCCAGTGGACTGAAAGCACTTCCAGGACACAATTCATCTAGAAAGACCTGCTCTCAGCCACCTACAAGAGAAGTCTGAGTAAGCAGCTCAAATCAAGCTACTGAGATGCCTGAAACAAGCTAATTCCCACCTTTTTGTCTGCAACACTGGCAATGAATGCACAAGTAAGAGTTTCATGAATTTCTTATTAATTTCAAGGTAGCTGAAAACTAAACTCAAATTCAACTTAATGCAGAGACCAGGACAGGTCTAATGACTCTCTAAAAAATGCACTGTGCTACTTCTTCTATATTCCCTCCACTATATTGTATTCTCTAAATGTGCCCTTGTGTCCTGAGAGCACATCTGAAGGATGTATTTTAATTTCCATGCAACTCACTGTTCTAAAAACAATGCTCTAAGAACAGCAACTTGACACCTGTATCACCAAATGCTTTCAAACTGAGCATTTCCAAATGATGAAGCTGTTTTACTACATAAATTCCACGTTAATGGAAGACCTATAGTCAAAACTACAGTTGCGAAGTTACTGACCTGTACTGAATTCTAAAGTGAGGAATGTGAGATGAAAATCAAGGCCAGCAGTATACATACATATATCTGTACATCTATCTGTATCTACCTTTACAGTCACTCACACTGAAGGTGTGAAGATGAAGGCCTAAGGCCACTGACCTTGGCAAACAAGTCAAAAGGATTTTGTGTGAACTCTTCACCCTGATTTCCTTGCAGGTTTAGAGCCTAAATCTTTTTTAAGCTACTCCAAAGAGGTTAACAGTATGGCAATGATGACTGTGCATGTTTCAGAAGCATGTAAAATGATGGTGTATGTAAATATGATTTTACAATACACTGCTCTTCTGTAAAAACGGGCATCGTTTTGAACTTCCATTAAAAGATTGCTCTCCAAAAAAGCTTGAGATAGGCTTTTCCATATCCCACAGAAAATTAAAACTGCATCTTTAAACTGCATCTTTAATACATAAAAAGATTAGTAGCCTCTACAAACATGGTAACAATTGCCCTCAATTAGAAGCAGAAATGCCTGATGGTTAACTTGAAGACTGCATTTTGCTGCCAGAGCACTGGCAATCTTCCTGTATTTTTTATTTTTTTTTAGATCTAATTTGTCTGAAGTACTGGACAATGGATTCATTTCTTACATTGTGAGGTAAAATTTAGAAAGCAATGACTGCAGGTCTGCAGCCTCTTGTCTTCTCTCATTAGCAAGTAGAAGACTTCTGCAAGGCCATGGGGCCACTGGGGCATTTCAAGATTATGGTGAGGAGGTGTCTGCACAGAAGGGGTCCTTTGAGCAGCTGTTTCTACACAGCATGATTCCTTTGGGTCTAACAAATCCAAGAAGGAAAACTTATTGGATGAGCAGTATTAAAAGCCATTCTGTGACTCCAGACTCACCCTGCCCACAGAGAGGTTGCATGCTGCACAGAGGCTGATGTCAGGACTGCTGCTTATGGCTCAGTCGTGGTGGGAAGGACCAAAAGACCACTCTGGAGAGAGGTCTCTTGCTAAAGACAAAACTGGACTAATCTCACATCTGGGCCTTGTTAGAACCCTATGTCACACCATTTCCAAGAGATACACAGATTTCAATTTCTTAAAATACGTGAAAACAGAATTCTGCATCTTCTACAGGTCTGAGGAGCCAGAAAGAAACAAACAAAACAAAAAAAACAAATCCAAACAGTTCACTTTAAACAACCCTGAAGGAATTCAGAATTCAGTTTTTTGGTGTCCAATATTTCTCAAATATCCATAAGAACAGCTACAAGTAGCAAAGAGATAAGTTGTCCCTCCCCAACCCCCGTATTTTTCTCGAAATAAGAATACAAGCAGATCTTTCCAACAATGTATAAACATTATACTTATCAATTAAATCTCAACTCTGACAGACACAGATGCATTTTTATTTAATGTGACTCTTACTCCCCCCCCCCTTCCCCCACACTCCTCCCAGGGGGGCAGGGGGGATCAAAGCAAGTTATGTTAAGTAATTATACAGTCTGTTTCTCCAGAGAAATATCTGAGCTAGACAGTTGGCGCTGAAAAAGCAGATTAAATTTTGAACTGAAGGGCCAAGCAGTGAAGGTGAACTCACGGCCTTTAGTTGTCTGTAGACTAAAAGCTGTACATGTCGTCAAAATTATGTTCTCTGTCCCTGAGGCAAGGTTCACTGCTATTCAAAAGAAAGATATTGAAAAGTGACTTTTGTCCCTAGAAAACCTCTATTTCTAATCCACAAGCAGCATACGGATGCTACGGGATGATCCAGAACTCCTCAAGGTCATTTCCCTGTCCTCAACATGGTATTTTAAAAGAAATTCACTATTATTATTATTATTTGCCTTAGCTGTGGTTGCTACAGCCATAACACACTAATGCCAGATAAGACTCAAGCTTTGTAGAAAGACATCATATCCCTTAAAATTTGACTCATTTTAATTTCAAATTCAAGTATTCAAATAAATCCCCTTGGGATATCAGACAGCAGCATTTCAACTCCCCCATGACTCCTCAAAGACAAAGCACATGCATAAATCTCAACATTTAAGATCATCCTTATTATATGTAACACACGTGCACCCTGAAATCAAACAATTAGTAAAAGACACAGGCACTGCTACAGTAATCAGTCATCCAGACATCATGGAAATATCAACTGACCTTCATGAGATGTTGATTTATCCATTTTGTGAAGGTTTTCTTTTGTACTTTGTCCCGCTCATCTAGAGGCAAAAAGGAAAAACAAAAGGGTTTAACGGATCTACAAATGATGCAGGTTTTCATTTGTTTTGGTTTGCCTTAAATTATGGAGAGTTTTATAAAATTAGGCATTCAAATAAGGTTTAAAAACAGAATAACCTGTAAACATTCCAAAATGTCTAATCAAAATAATAGCATGCAAATGTTTTTGCAGTACATCACAGCACATCATGAAAAAGTTTCTTGAGGAAAAGTTCCGTGTGAGTTTTTCCAGGACACCAGCCCTGTTGGTACAGTAGCAGCACTACTAACAAAAATATAGCTTCCTAGAAGTTAACCATCCCCTAAAATGCACTGAAAAGATCAAGACAAACTTTTTAAGAGCTATGAACACTATTTATAGCCTCTAAAACCCAATGACTACTTATAGCCTCTAAAACCCAATCAATTATTAAAGTATTGAGCAATAGAAAATCTCTCACTATACACAAGCTGGCTCTTTTAATCCCTATGCTTTGAAACTGAAATATCAGCCTTGTTCCAACATGCAAGGATGACCTACAGCTTCAGTCAGAGAAAGGACTCTTTCTTCTAATCCTTTATAAAATAAGTAAGGCTGTGCCATATGGGACCCAGCCATTGCGAACAGGTTGATCCCTGGTGTTGAAGTTAGCATCAATGATTGCCCACGAAATATTAAAAAGAAGCAATGAAAGCAATAGACACAGGATAAGAAAGCATCCCACTTATGGATGGGAAGAATGCACATGTGTTCTACCAAGCCATACTGGAGAAACCACCACTCCGGCACAAGAGTTATCTCCACAAACCTACACATGGTCAGTAGCCAGTACAACTGCTACAGAGCCTGTTCACAGTCCCAGAGCTCCCTGGGGTAGGAGTTGTGGTGCATTAGGACCAGGACCATCTGTGCAAGCCTAAAATAGCGATATCCCTTAAGACCCCATACAACAAAACTGCAGCTGTTTCATTGACTCAGGCTATTTGTAGTGTGACTGAGAATGGGCAATGAGATCAGGTAGCCAAACAAGACCCCTTCTGTAGCTACTGCCACCACCAGAAGGTTGAATGAGATAATGTACTTTATATTTTTAAAAATAAATACTCTTTTCAGACTGGTCAAAGGTAACATAAGTAATAAAAATTAAGGGAAGATCCATATTCATGGACTTTCAAGTCTCTGGTGTGATACTGAGGTCGTTCAAAAACGCATGAGATCATAACAAGAGTCCACCCTGAGCCACACTGAGCACTGTGTGCTGTTCCTACCAGTAGCCAGAAATGAGTATGAGAATTCAGGAACAAATGCAAAAACAAGACAAGCAGAAGTCCTGTGAAGCCTTTGTATACTCCCCATGTGTGACTCACAGACTTTCTACATGCTTATACGTATCTTTGTACTTAAGAGTCATAGATGCATTTTTTCTGTTGTTTTTTTTTCAATCCTTTTTTAACACATCTGTAACTTCTGCTGCTACAGTTCACTGTGGCAATGAGTTCTTCGTATTTGTACATTCAGCTCTGTACAGAACAGCTGCTGTGCCCTAAATGCCTTTTCCACACCACCCAAGCTTCTGGCATACACTTTTTCCCTGCTTCACAGCTCCACACTCTCTTATTCTAGCTGAAGACCCCAAAAAGAGGAGTAAGAGACAAATTAAAGAGCAAAGCTGCACTAGAGGAGAAAAAAACATGGTGGATTAAGAAAACCTTTTGCTACATACACATTTCCCTATAGCCTTGATCTAGCAAGACAGCATTTCTGACATCTGTTACTTATCCTAATAAGGTAGAAGCCTTTGTTTGGTAGATGTAGAGAACAGAAAAATCTCAAAAATCAAAGAAATCCAGAAATACTTGTAACTGTTCCATTATGGGTACCTGTTTTGAAAGAAACACAAATTTTCTCAATGTTTTAACATCCCAGCCCACAGTGTGTCTTTTTTCCTAAGGTAACACCAGCTAGTTCTGACTAACCACTACAAAAGTTTACACTTTGTGAAGTGTTACTGTGACAAGAGGAAAAAAAAAAAAAAAAAAAAAGTTAAAAAAATAAAAAATATCCACTTCCTTTTATCGTTAGAACACGCAGTCACCATTAATTTAAACTCTACTTTCAACTGAAATGCCAACATACATTAAGTGATGCTTACTACCCCTATTGCATTTATACATGCATATATTACACAAACACTCACAGAAAAACTCTGTACCCGACACACAAAATGTGTGACAAGGAGGAAAGCTGCTGTCATGTTGTGCAAAACACCAGGATTGAAGAAAAATTAAAGAAAAAAAGGAGAAAAAGAAACCAAAACTACACCACAACTGGGATGTTTAATCGAAAACCCAAATGATTCCAGAAAAGCAAATGCACACTGGGAGGAAAACATGGTGCAACAGTATTCAGTTTGCCCAAGCTCTGAGAAGCACATACAAATCAGCCCCGCCAGATGAAACAGAAAACAGGGAGCTAACTACAGAAGAACTACCAAACTAAGGAGAAGAACTACATTGAAAGCCTCTGGAGTGAAGCTTCCCTCCAGAGCGCCCTACTGCCCTGCCAGCTCAGCACTGAGCTGCGTTACTGACCCATGCAGCACATCACTTCCACCAGCTTTGCACTCCAGTCCTTTTCATCTTCAGCAAACTCTGTCATTCTTCCCTTCAACACTGCAGGGCTGCTTTTCTCCTCAGGGAAAGGAGAGCCAAGGCGTGACCAGAGCTTCTCCTAGCTTACACAAAGTAGCAACTCCCCTTTTTAAAAAGGCAGAGGCAAACAGCCCATCTGCTGCCACTGCTGCAAAACCTCTAGTCCTCTGGATTTAAGTCACAAGAAGAAGCAAACTAAGCATCAGCGTTTGTTTGTTTTGACTTTTTACATGCACTAATACACATTTGGGTACAAATGTTGAGCTTTTTGAACCAGGAAGTCTATTTTTCTTCCTTCTACCAACAGTAAGCATTAAGGAAAGAGCGTCACCATGAAAAGAGCAGCCACCAGTACCATTTAAGCCAAGGTAATTTAAGAATGCAGGTGAGGCAGTAGCTGCAGAAAGAAAACACATCTTCCCAGATAACCTGATCTGCAGATCACAACAATAAACTCTCAAGGGTTAATTTATCAACCTGAGCTTCTCTGCTTTTACCTGTTACTGCAGACACATTCATTGCAGACATTATTCTCACGTATCAGACACACCTAATGAAAAGCATCTTAAGTTTAAAGTGCTTGGAAAGTACCTCAAAGGAATGGCTCCAGCCTTAACAGACCACCTACTTTATGAACCTACACTGTAACACAGCAGTATCTAAAGAGGCTCCAGATTAGAAAATTGGTACTTAAAAACCAGTTGCTACAACTAAGGTATCTCATTACACATTCCTGTCATTCCTAAATCCCAAAGACAAATTCAGAGGCCAGATCTGTCTAATACCAATACCCATTTTCATGAATCCCCATCACTTCCATAGATCACAGCACCTGCAAATTAGAACAGTTTCTCTGGAAGACAGGTTTACTGCCAGGATTACACCAAAGGCTACACATGGCATTGATGCCTCTTCAATACTCTCCTGGGGAGAACCACAGAATCATTAAGGTTGGAAAAGACCTTTAAGATCATTTGAGTCTGACGGTAAACCTAGCACTGCCAAGTTCACCATGTTCCCAAACAACATATCTATGCATCTTTTAAACACCTCCAGGGATAGTGACTCAACTACTTCCCTGGGCAGCCTGTCCCAATGCTTGACAGCCCTTCCCATGAAGATTTCCTCTAATATTGACCTAAACCTCCCCTGGCACAACTTGAGGCCATTTCCTCTTGTCCTATCACTTGTTACTTGGGAGAAGAGACTGACTCACACCTCACTGCAACCTCCCTTCAGGTAGTTGTAGACAGCAATAAGGTTCCCCCTGGACCTCCTTTTTCCCAGCCTAAACCACCCCAGGTCCCTCAGTTGTTCCTCATCAGACTTGTTTTCCAGACCCTTCACCAGCTTTGTTGCCCTTCTCTGGACCTGCTCCAGCACCTCAATGTCTCTCTTGTAGTGAGGGGCCCAGAACTGAACACAGGATTTGAGGTGCAGCCTCACCAGTGCTGAGTACGGGGGATGATCACTGCCCTGGCCCAGCTTGGCCACACCATTTCTGATACAGGCCAGGATACCGTTGACTTTCTTGGCTGTCTGGGCACAAGCTGGTTCATGTTCAGCAGTTGTCACGATGGGAAAAGTAGCACCTCATCTTTCTCCTGCTTCTGCCAATGCATCCACTACCAGCTGCGGTCAGAAGAGGACACTGGTGAGGCGAAGCCAGTGTGTCTCACAACCATCTGCTGCCCTCACAAACTGAAATACTCGGCAATTGGCATCATCTGACCTGTGTTTTCACAGAAAATGTATCCCACCCAATTACTGTCTCATCTTATGACATCTGCATTGATATGGCGAGGTTCTTCCAACTGAGTGGCTCCTGTTCTGTATATTCCTATCAGGCAAGCCATCAATTTACAAAGCTGCCTTTTACATGTTATATTAGATCATACATGCACATAGTTATGGAATTAATTGAAATTTACTCCTATCTGAGCTCTGCATTGTTAATTTCAACAGCAATGAAACGTGAGCCTCAGTTTAGGTCTTCCCTTATTTCTTCTCATTTCTCCAATTATTCTGTGAAGAATTTAAGCCTGTTTCCTGCTTCCTTTGCTCTGAAAACCAATTAGATTTCTTACATGCTGGGGTGAAAGGTCACACATAGAGCTGATCTGATTACAAAGATCAATCAGAATAAAAGTTTTGCTCATTTATTCTAAGATCTGATGCCCCTTCATGCTCTACTTTTATTAAACTGCAGACTATATGCATCAAGAGCTGAGGATGTAGTTTTCCTGGAATTACAGCCAAGTAAGACCAAACTCAGACCTCACTGAAGTTAACAGATAACTATTTCTAAGTGAAGCCCCCACTGGCTTCTATGTCATTAGCATTCAATCTT